CCTAAATGCAGTCCACTCATTTGAAGTACCAACAACGTTTATATTATCTCCGTCTTCGACTCCATGGTCTCCGGTTCCCTCATCCACTTGACCTTCATCGTCAAGTGGATTTACTGGCATTTCTTACATTTTAAAATTGTGGAGGAGACAACATGCCATGATGATCCTAACTTTTTGTTCAATAGGATAATACAAGTTATCTGTTAAGATTGCCCGCCTTGCCTTTAACATACCGAAATATCGTTCAATAACATTTCTCGCCGATGAATGCTTCATATTGAAAAATTCTTTGGCAGTGGTTGGTTGGTGTCCATCACGCCAATCATTTAAATGATATCTTCGACCTCTATAAGGAGCTAAGAAACCCTCTTCATTTGTGTATCCGGCATCAACCAAGTAATAACCTAATAATAAATTAAGTTAATAAACCATCAAAACTTATACTTGTTAATATATATATTAAACTATCAAAAACTACACCCGGTCTTGGAACTTTTAATCCATGAGGCCTAAGAAGAGCAGCCCGAAGCCCTCGACCATCAGCAGCCGACCCCTCCCATCCCGGTAACACATATATAAATTGCATATCTTGTGAGCATACCCCTAGCATTTTTGTCGCAATTTCATTTTTTCTTGTTCTATATCTAGGTTTGTCTTCTTCTGGTACTAAACATTTTATGTAGGTTTTATCTAAAGCTCCTAGACAATTCTAGAACCAAGAAAAAAAGATCAGTATATTTTCATAAAAATTAGACTTATTTACAAATAAGTAAATTTTAAAAAGAGGTGGAAATACCTTAAATCATTTTCATCTTTGATCAGTAGAGTTATCATGAACAGATTCAGGTATCTTAAGCAATCATGGATGTAACCTTATTAATTGCAAACTCAAGCAACAACTCTACTAATTGTTTCTACTGGGTGGTTCATCGATTCATCAGCTGATGGTTCCTCATTAGAATTCTCTTTTTCATCAACAGTACTTGCTGATGAGGTAGTATTGACAATCAAAGACTCCAGTTTAACCGTAGGGTTTCCGTCGGTCTCTGATTTAGATATGTCATTTCTTTCATCAGAATTCTTACTTGTATTGTTCTCGTATACCACATTCTCAAAATCTTGTCTTAAAACGACAGTTTTTCTATCAACTTTAACTCTTTTAAAATTTGCTTTTTGTTTTGGAGTAAAGTCGGGTTTTTGAATGCATCCAAGTTTGAAAGTAGATTCAAGGGTGGATTTCTTTGATTTGATGAAAGAGTCCAATTCTTTGAATCCAGTCCCTTGAGTGTCCGTTTGACCATTTATTTTTTCATAAATGTCTTGGGCATCTTTGTACTTATTCATCAGAAGTTAATTGGTTTGAAGCTTCTGGTGAAGAATTTCCCGCTCTTTTTGAAAGAAATCTTTAAGAGCAACTGAGTTTAGTCTCTCTGCCTCGGATTCCTTTAAGGCCTTAGTTTTCTTTTCTAGGTCCTTAGTTATTCGTTTGTTTAGTTCCAG